GGAGTGAGCCTGCTGTTGTTCTCTAAAGACAGCTGAGGTAAATGGAATGAGAATGGAAAAAAAATGAAAGACTGAGCATTTGAAGAAAACAAAGCAGACAAACAGAGGTAGAAAGACAAGAGGAGAGTCCTCTCCTTCACTAGGTTGTTCCTTCCTGAACACATACAGAAATGGCACTGAACAACTTTGGGAAGGGCTTTCTGCTCACAAGCTAAGAGGCTGCTGGGCATGGGGACAACTGAAAGCTGTTCCTGAAGTACATCCCCATGGTTTCTGAAGGCTTTCAAAGGACTTGTTTCCACCTGGTACTCAGCCATGTGTATTCCCCGTGGGTGCGACAAGAAGGGGACCTCTCAAAAAAGTTTTAGACTCTTGAAGGTCACCTCAAACAACACTCTGAAGACAATGACACAAGTAAAAGTTGTTTTGGCCTCACCCATAGGAACCAGCAGAGAGAACAGCAAACCCTGTTGTTTCCTGTGGTACCAAGGAAGTCCTCCCTTGTGAAAACAGGAGACCCTGTATACCCAGAACATCTCAGCCCATCATGTGACTTGAGCCCCAGCAGATGCCTAAGTCCTATTCATAGCTATCCTCCTGCAATGGGTGCAGGGCTCTGGGGTGGGGGTAGGGGAAAGGCCACTCTTCCCAAGCACTGCCCTAGGAAATGCAACCTGTTGTGCATCAGCACGTCACCCCCTGTCCCAAACAAAGAGCAGCTGGGAGGAAATCTCTACCCCTAAATGTAGATTTATTAACACTCAGCACCAGAAAAGTCAAGGTCAAGGGTTAAAGCTCGCCTTTATCCATCACCTCTTGATATGACCTTGGTGGGGTTTTTTGCAAAGGGCAGGGACAGTTGATGCCATAATGAGCTGCTCTTCCCAGGAGACCCAGCATGATGAAAAAATACAGAACATCCACTTTCATGTACCAGTGCAAGAATACAGGTTTGATTGGTAATAAGTTTCCCATTAAAAATACATGGGAACTTACCTCAGAGACAGAGAGTAGACCCCACAGGATAAAGTCTGTTCAGCCAGCTTTTAATGAAGGCAATTATATCCATGTATTTGAGGCTTTCCTTCCTCGTTCTTCTCCAAAGAAAACAGGTTCATTTCATGGAGGAAAACTAGAATGAAAAATAAATTCACAACTGTTGTTCTTTAATATTGAGTCAATTACATTTTGATATTTGAATGACAACATTTTTAATACCATATTAATATTAACTTATGTGCAGGTATAGGAGCTACTTTTGGGCATGCAATGTGTTCTAAATTCTGAGGAAATTAACAGTTTCTAAAGAAACAAGGAAAATGCAACTTGGGTGGTCACTGAGGCCATTAATTTTAATGAATTAGCCAATATATTGGATTATGCAAGGAAGATTTTTGTTTTATCCTGAGGAACTACTGAGGTATTTATTCATCTCTCAATCAAGAGTAGATGTCACGAGTTTTGTTGTTTGTCTGAACTTAAATTCAAAACACAGTAAACACTCTACTCTTCAGTGCTCTCCTCTTTTTCCTGTCCTCTCGCACTCCCTCAAACGTACATGGAGAACCTGTAGCAGTTTTCTCAGTGGAGCTATGAAGTTTACTCAGGATCTGTAGTTCCAAACTTGAATGCCAATCCCATATTCATAACCAATGCAATATGAATCATGGATATTTGCAGCAGACAAAATGTTCTCTTCTGCTCCACTGTCGGTCCTCTGTTACTACTGACACTGACACAGAGCCTTTATGCAGGTAAGGATGGGGAGGAGGCCAAGTCAGGGAACACTCCAAGCTGGAATGGCACCATGAGGGATGAGTGCACAAAGACTGCATGTATAAACCAGTTTACACCCCTCTTTGCTAACAGACTTAATCCAGTAGGATTACATTTTTCTCATGTGTGAACATCGCACATTTTACCTTCTGCACAGTGCACCATCTTCTGAGGTGAAGTTAGGGATTCAGATAGAGTTCAAGCACTAGTCTTAGAAAAGAGAGCTGCTTTGGAGTACTCAGCTCATGATATCTTTAATGGTGCCCAACAAGTTCAGAGCAGACACTGTAAAAAACAGCTCTTTTAAAATTGTCTCCAGCTGGGGACCAAAAGACAAATGAACCATAGTCACCACCATTTGTTAAAATTTTGCCCTTGGTTTAAAGAGCTGAACTGAGAACATGGTATTGTGTGAGCCATAACAGCCTCAAACATGGAGCAGACCTGGACCTGCAGTGCACCAAGCAAATGGACAGAGATGCAGGGCCAGAGACTTCCCCACCTTCTTCCAGCAGCAGCATTGGTGAAATCAAAGGCTTAAAACGTCTGCCACAAGATGCACTTACTCCCATCCCAGGGACTACCACAGCAATTAGTATAAAAGAACATTAAAAAACCTAGTCAAGAGCCTTGGGTCAACGGGGAGTAAATCTCAGCTAGATCTAAAGCTCAGTAGATTTGGGCAAACTGCTCTTTAGCTCTTGAGCCTTTTTGCTCACTCTGCCTTTTACTCTGCCCTTCTGGGAGGTAGTCACGGCAAGCTACTGTCATGGCACTGGGCTGTGTTCCCCACCACTCACAGAAGCTGCAGGGAACTGACACAGGGATGCTCTCTTGGTAGCACCCACCAGTGCCGAGCCCTGCCAGGATAGGCTTTGGATTCAAATGACATTAGACTGCAAAATCCTTTGATGTCTCTCTGGGCACCTTCTGTTTAGGCGAAGTGCTTCCCTCAGAGCACTCAATTCTTTCCCAATATTGCATTTATAAGGAGACTTTCTTTACCCAGAAGCAGCAGACACTCCCCCTGCTCCACCCTTCCCTGTCCTCCTCCCTGCCCCATAAAACTCTTATTTAAAAACAGGAAAAATTACTCTGGCAAAAAATCTTCCTCCACCCTCCCTCCTATCTGTTTAAATATCCTGGACTGCAAGACACTCAGTACAGAACAGTCATCAATTTTTAATTCATTTAATCTCTTGGTAACAGTGTTCTCGTGAACTGAAGGGCCCCTAAGGAAGCTTCAGAGAAACCTCAGACTAGCATCTTTGACTGGATCAGGGATGAGGTTTTGTGGATAGACTGGGCTCCTTGTAACCTTATGGGTTAATGGGGTAAAAAATATTGAAACCTGAGTACCTTTCAACCCCAGCCAAATCAAAACACATTGTAAACCAGAGCTCTGTACCCTGAGACAGCACACAGTGAAACAAGCACCAGGGAGAGAATTCCCTGCATCGGAGTTGTTCATGATTCAGCAAACTTGGGAAGGAGCCCTCTGAGTAAACATGTGGGCTGTCTGCACTCCTGGTCCCGCTACTGCTTCATTCTTGTTCCAAGAAGATCAGAGAACAACCTAATACACTGTCAGTAATTAAATTCTGCCTGCTTAAATGCCCTGGAAGTCTCAAGAGGGAACAGTTTTTCTTTTCAAGCCTGTAAGTGTGTGGGAAGCTAATACTGTGTATATCTGCATTGCTTTCCAAAAGGGAATGAGCAAAATGGTACCTGCATACAATGTGAATGTTAATGGGTTCTGCAAGAGCTTTAGGGCAGGGAGCAAGAGGATTCTTGGTTATATTCAATCATGTCATACAATGGTAGCACCCAAAGGCCCCAGTTGTACTGGAGTGTTTCATAAAAGAGCAAATCCCTGTCCCCAGCACCTTATAATCTAATGAAACAGGTTAAAAAAATAACCTATTGCTCCACTTCTGTGACAGCAAGAAATGATGCAATTTATCCGAACCTGAGCTTTCTCATCATTGGATGTGTAAGGACTACAGTTCTATGAAGAGACTTTAGGAAGAGGAAACAGATTTGATCACATTAGGTATGACAATGAACTTAATGCATAGGTACTGCCACATAACCTCTGTATCATTCAAGCAACACAAAGGGTGCATGCACGCATAGCTCCAGATATCCAAAGTGACTGCTCTGTGCCGCTGGCTATGACAGACAAATGCAAAGCTAACGGGTGGCAAGCAAAAGAAGCCTAAAACCTTCAGCCTCTCTTCACACCCCCCTCATTCTTTCTGCCTAGTAAAGATCCCTGTCCAGTATTTCGTTGCCTGTAACACCTGGCAGGCTGCTCTTATGGATGTGCATGGCCCAGTTCTGCTTGGCTTCTAGAGGTCAACGATGAATAGTTAATTCAGGCAGACTCAGTTGTAAAGAGACTGTGACTTGTTACACTAAGTCACACAACATAAATTTCTGTCTTTCCACGTGCACCTCAAGTAACAGGCATGTTCCTACTGTAATGACAGACAGCACAAGAAGACAAGGCACTATGGCCCAGAGCTACTCAGTAAATGAATGCTTTTCTCAGACTCCTTAAGATCATGCAATACTTCGGACATTTAGGGGTCTGTTTTTCCAAAAACAATGACTAGAAAGTCGTGATGCAGGACATAGGTTAGCACTAAAGCCCTGTCACGACCCCCTCTGGTACAGCTGCAGCTCAGACAGACACATGGATGCTGGGACAATTTGCATAGTTACTATTTCTTGCAGAGATTTCCCCTAATTTTTGATGCCTTTTTCTAATCAGGTTATTTGTCATTTGCCAGCAGCAACCCCTGATTCTTTGCCTGTGAACCTCCTGTTCTGTTTCACACTATTAAGAACATTATTTTCCATTCTCCTGTCAGTGGAGAGTGCTGGTGATTAGCACTGCAATATCTGGTTCCCTTTATTGAAAATGTTAATCCTTCCTTTTGCAGGCTTTCTTTAGCCAGGGGTGTTAATACTTGGTTAATAGAATCAGGCTGCCTTTTTCTTCATCTTTTGTGTGCATGTGTGTTAGGGATGGATTTTTTTTTTAATCTTTTGGTCAGAATTTATTACAGTCTCTCTTTTGATTCTTTATTTTTTATTTTTTTCTCCAGAGGGGCTGCTTTGAATTTCCTTGGGGTTTTTTTGCCATTGTTATCGTAATGTTTTTCTTACATTTAGTACCCAGAACACTCATTGTTCTGTGTCTTTTCTGGTTTCTGCAGTCTTTAAAGGGTGCTTAAGAGTGTGTCCTTGAAGGAGGAGTTACCTATGTCCATCAGCACCCGTCCATACCTCAGTAGGAAGAGAACTGAGAGCTGGGAGCCTTCCCTCACCTGCTGCACAGATAAGGCTTTCTTTGGCACTCTACAAGCCTTCCTTCAACCTGAAGATCCTTTCAGCATTTGGATGGTAAATGGCATCAAAGATCACCACCCACCACTCATAAGACATTCTTCCATGGTGAAAGCATAATGCGAAGCGTGGGTCGCCTCTTGTAACTTCAAGGATCATGGATTCTCTCCCAGGTGGAAAGGTGAGGCTGCCAAGGTCAAAATGCAGACAGGAGAAGGCTGTGGGATGAAGTGCAGGCAGTTTTGTGTCACATTACAGTGGTATAGTCTTTTAATGTTAATCAGTTCAGTGAAAAATCCTCTTGTTTTGATGTGAATAGCACAGATCCTATCTCCAGCAAATTGGTGTTGTGATGACTTTCTCTAAAAGGAAAGTCATCACCTGGAGCAATGTAATCACCAAAGGAAGAAAAGTGCCAAGTCATCTGAAGCTTTGTCTCTCCTGATTGCAATCATATTTTATACTCAAGTAAAGAGAAACTGCTGTGACAATGGAGCAAGGAAGTAGTGGCTGTTCACCATCCATCTATTGTGGATATGGAACTGCAAAGCCATTTTCAAGGCAGCCTCCGTATACAGATGTTCACTCACTGGAGATAATTTCAGCAGGCACACCTAGAGCTTTATGGGACTGTGGGAACTGGTTGACTCCCCTTCCTCCATCTAATCAGCCACCCAGTCAGGCAGCTGAGGAGGCCAGAAGCAATGGGAGGACACTGGGCACCTTCCTTCATCTTCTAAATGTGAGAGTATGAGGTTGTCAGAGTTGTCATGTTAATCCTTCCTTTTAAATTCCCATTAATGTGTCTTAAAAATACGACCTCCGCGCACATGGAAACGTGGTAACGTGCTGCTCAGGCGCACAGCTCCTGGCCTCTGACCCACCCGGGAATGCAACGAGCTCCTTAAGACCCCGACGCCACTTTGATGGCCCTCCAGGAGCCTGCAGAAGATGCCATCCAGTGGCAGCAAGGTAACATTACAAGAGCAGGCAATAAAATCGGCCCTTGACACCCTCCTTGAAAAAAGTTGTATCTGGTCGTGACTTAACTGCATAATCAAAGTACCCAGGATGTCTGTGGCCTGTGGTGAAGACTTGAGTGACACCCATCTCTAATTATGCTAATTGGACAGCTTCTTTTTCCTCTCCAGAAACCCTTATGCTTTTGTTTGCAGGGAATAAATAAAGAGGGATTAGCTATGTTTATCTGTGTTTTCCTAAGTCTTTACAGAATAACTGTTATGTGTAATTAAATAATTTGACCGCCCTTGACCAATCTGATAGCAAATTACCAGGCATTACTTAGGAGGTTGCATTACCTTTCAAGAATAGATTATATAGATCTGAATTATACATATATATATATATTTATTATTCTTTTTTTGACAGGAACAGCTAGAAATAATGGTCTTAAGAAGGTGAAAATTCAGTGCACTTTGACAAGCTGTCTTTTCCTAGCAGCATTGCTTGGCTATATGTCTGTTTTCTCCACAAAGGCTCTGCACTGAGTCAGCTGCATAGGGAGTCTTCGGTCATAGTCTTCCCTTGCTCAGTGTCAAACATGCACTGGTAGGATATATCAGGTAGTCTTTGTTAAGCAATATAAGTCCTGGATTTGCTCTCTGTGATCCAGTTCACTGATATGTAAATAATTCACGATCTTCAAGGATCCAGCTTAACTGCTTGCCCTATGCTTTGCTGCCTCTCAAATCACTAATCCATATACCCTCTTCCTAGAATCTGCTTCCAGAGAGGTTTCCCATATAATTGTCACCACAGATTGATGAGTTTCTCTTCAGGAGCCACGAAGCATTGATGTGCAGAGAGAACGTAATACCCTCCTGTCTTAAAATAGATTCCTTTATCCAAGATACAGATACCATTTAAATACTTAGAATGTACTTTACAGAGCATGCTAGACCCTTACAGATCCCCAGGGAATACCTTCTCCCTGAAACAGAGACCAGATACTCCACCTTAAAATGTGCTGATCTTATTCCACCTTTGTTTTTTAGGTGTATATTAATTCAGTATAATCACATAAACACGCTTCATGCAAAATAAACACACCACTCTGTCAACAGGTTTGGAAGTATGTCTGCAGCTCCTGAAAAATGGCAAAGGAAAAAATCTTCCAAAGAAACACTGCACTGATGCATTTGCCAAGAGGCCTGGCCAGAATTGGTTACAGCTCTAGAAAGTGTGGTATCTAGGCTAGGCCATCAAAACTGAAAGGCAGCAACTAATAAAGGGTGGGTTTTAATGTCTTCCCCTGGGAACTAGCGCACGGGGTGGAAAATGAAACTCTTTCACTAACCCCCACTGTGTAGCTTTGTCTTCCAAACACACTGGGGAAAATAAGGGGAGGAGATTCAATAAGTGCATCTAGGAGAAACTTGGGATACAGCCATGAGTCGTGATCTGGACAGTGCCAAGATAACAGGCAGCAGAGAGAGGAGGGGTTGCTTCCAACATAAGTTTTGTGAGATGCTATCCCTGCCAAATCCTCCTCCCAACCCTCTAAGTAAGCCATAATTGGCTACATCTTTTTTAGTACATGCAAAACCTTTGTTCCCAGAAATTTGAATAGTTGTGATATTTTTGTTCCTTGAGGAAACCTACGTGGATTTCCTCAGAGAAGTAAGCTGCAGTCAGGGACAGGTGCCAGTGCACAGACATTTTGGGTATTCTTGGTCAAGGTGGGCATGGGGCACCTGTAGGTACATGAAGCAAACTGGTCTAGCTTCCTGGGACATGGTATTTCAGGGTTGTTTCTCTGCTGACCTGGCCTAACACACAGGCAGCAGAATATGCTCCAGGGAAGGCAGCTTCTGTCAACAGGAGAAGTGGGAGAAGGTGAGGGTCCCCCACCCCAGTCTGGGGTAGCCTCAGCAACAATCTGAGCTGAATCACTGGTTACCCAATGCTTTGGGTGAGGTTTGCCAAGAGAGGATGAGTTGACCTTTCCTTTTCTTTGGCATGGCTGAAGGGCAGTCCTTCTCCCCACCCCTCTCCTCCTCCTTCTCCTGCTTGCACATGGACCTGTGTCTGGCTGCTTTCTTCAAGCCAGCTCTGACTCAATCTGCCCTTGGTGAACTGATGCAGCTCACTAAACTGGCTGAAAGAGAAATATGTCTGTGAGGAAAACGGGCAGGACACACTCCTCAGGGACAGGGAGAGGCATTTCTTCAGGCTGTGAGAGTGGCCAGCCTTGACCAATCCTTCAGGTAAAAGGAGGGACAAGCAAACAGGGTTCTTGCATAGACTAACTTCATTGAGATTATATGCCCTATGCCCTACCTGCATCCAGGCTGGTAGCTAGAAGCTACCAGGGACCTTCAGCTGCCCCGCACACAGCAGACCACCTTCAGCATGAAGGTACCTTGTCTCCTCTCTTCCATCTCCCACATGCAGCATCACAAGTCCCTACAGCTTGCCAGAAGTCCACCAACAGCAGCTGTAATTGTGCCACCTTAGCTTGAAGAGAAATGCCCAAGTTTTACTGCCACTGAGATGTATGTAAGGGTTTCATACATGCCCCTGAGGGAGGATGTAAATTATTTGGTTTATTTCAGGAGTTTCTGTAGTACTGGCCTAGCTTTTGTCAGAACCACAAATCCCACAGATCAGAATATTAGATACTTTTTCATCAAAGGGAGCTCAAACTCAGTTCAGTTTCTTTCTTCTCTGCCATGGAGAGATGCAAAACTTGTTTCTTCGGTAGTCCAGTCACTGCGTCTTTGTTCTGTTTGAACAAAGCAAAATACAAAGAATCCTGAAGAAGCAATCAACCACATTTAAACTATTTTCATATTCTTGTGACAAAGAACAAGCATGTCAGAAATCTTCTGCTTTTTTTTCCCTTGGAACCTGCCATTTTATTATGTAGTCACTTCTTAAAACAACATAAAAAAATAAAAAGCTGTTACTTCATTTCCTTTTAAAATTGGAATGGGGAGGGGAGAATCATACAACAGAAAAGTTCATTTCCCTAAATGGTCTTTTATAACCAGCAGCATGGCAATATAGAGCTGACACTGCCCCTTCAGGTCTTTGGGTCTTGGCCAGTTCACTGTAGAGAAAGAAATCCCCGCATGTCTGGGTTCCTTGCTATGGTTTTTCTGAGTGGCTGCTCCTGCTGTTTTGTGGCTGCTGCCCCACGGTTCACTGGCGAGCATTGATATTCCATGAGCTGCTCATCTGCTCCTAAGCTCTGCATGCTCAGCTTGGGCAGCCTGGCAGTCCTTCATGAGCACTGTGCAATGCTCTGGTCTCCTGTGTGCACACTTGCCTTCCAGTATCTGAAGGGGGCATATAGGGATGCTGGGGAGGGACTCTTCATTAGGGACTGTAGTGATAGGACAAGGGGTAATGGGTTAAAACTTAAACAGGGGAAGTTTAGATTGGATATAAGGAGGAAATTCTTTCCTGTTAGGGTGGTGAGGCACTGGAATAGGTTGTCCAGGGAGGTTGTGAATGTTCCATCCCTGGCGGTGTTCAAGGTCAGGTTGGATGAGGCCTTAGGTGAGATGGTTTAGAGCGAGGTGTCCCTGCCCATGGCAGGCGGGTTGGAACTTGATGATCTTAAGGTCCTTTCCAACCCTAACTATTCTATGATTCTATGACATCAGACATTGACTGCATCCCCAGCATGCAAGCTGATGTGGCAACGGCATGAGCCATGGATCCCCTGTGCATTGCTCCTTTCATCTCTGAACCCAGCCAGTTGTTCTCCTCAGCCAGCAGGCTCTCTTACAGTGATAGGCATGGGGTGTCACTGCACCCCAGGTTCTGGTCATTGCTGAGCCTGGCCACTTCTCCCCAGGCATTACTTCACAAAGCTGCCAAGCCTTGCGTGATCCCACTGTATGGGCTTCATCCTCTGTTCCCCTCACAGTGGGAAAGGGTGACCACCACTGAAGCACAGCTCTGCTAGGAGCTTGAGTATAAACATAGCTTACACTAGTCAAAAACATTCACTGTGCTTCTCATCCTTATCACACAGACTTTCTTTCCTCGGCTGCCTGAGAGCTTCACGAAGCACAGCAGTTAAGCTTTACTTAGTCCCTGTGTCTCGACACTTCCACTGAAAAGTTCCCAAGCTGGCAAGATGCTGTGGAGCAGCTCTTTCCCTCCAAACACCTAACCTGGGTCTCTTGACCTCATTATAGGGGAATAGAGGCCATCTACAGCAGATTTTTCTTACATTGATTGATGACTCTGCAGAAACTCTTGCTGTAACACTTTCTTCACGTTCAATTTTTAACAGATTTAGAAACAATTCTACCTTATTCAGAGATGTATCCTCATTCCTCCTGAAATCCTGGCGTGCTTGAGGATAGCTTCTAATCTGGAGGGCTGCAGAGAGCGCGTCCACTCTTATGGGTTTGAGTCTTCAGCTGGTGCAAGGATCAGGAACAAACAAAATGGATAAACACTGAGTTGTGTGCTTGCTGACTGAGCTTCTCTCCTATTTAGAGACAGTTCCATCTTTGCAAGGGTTTTGCCCTTGAAATAGGTGCTTTACTCTAGTATTTTTAAAGAGTATTTATTACAATAGTTGTATTTGTCGGCCCCTTGTATGTACTGGGCACTGTGGAGTTTCAACATAGAGAAAGGAGGTGACTGACTGAATTCCTGCTGAAAGATCAAATACTATTCTCCTAAACCCAGAACACCTCACTTAGTTCTTCAGCTTTTCTTATATGGCAGCACCTATTTTGTTTTACATGGTGCCAACAAGACACTTAGAAATTTCCTGGACTTAATAACCCCTTCTTACGTTGGCAGCTTGGCAAGAACAGCTTTCTCTGAAATCTCCCAAATCAATTGACTTTGCCAGGTCTTTTGCTTAACAAATCCTTTAGTTGCTTCCAGCACTTTCCCACAAGTGATAGGGAATTAACGGTTTTGTAGTCCCCTGGTGGGTCTCTTGGCCTTGTGTTGTCTTATTAGACACACTCTGGTCTGCTGGGAGAAATGTACCGCATTGGAAAAGATGCTGGATGAGTTTCATTTCATGTCCCACTTTCTTGTTGCATTCTTGGGCTCGTGAATGTCAGAGTGTTACAACAAATCTGAATAAGATTCAAAAGCTCAAAGTCCCTCAGCATAGGCGTCTTACTTCATGATTAATCCAGTGTCCTACATGTCCTATGAAGTCAATGCATGTTATTCCAAATCTGCCTTGTGTTTAAGATCTTGGC